TTAAAATAAAAAATATTGCCCAGGCTGGCCTTGAATTTGGAATTCTCCTGCTTCAGGACTCCTAGCTTGAGTTACAGGGGTGTGTCACTGTAATCAGTTGAAGGATATTTTAAGTCTCTGATGACAGAGTCATCAAACATGAATGAAGAGACATAAATAACTGAAAAAGACCCACATGGAAATTCTGGAGTTGAACAGTACAACAATGAATAACACATTCAGGAGGGAGCTCAGCAGCCAAAAAAATAATCACTGAACTTGAAAAAAGGTCAAGAGTATAGGAGAAGGGGGTCTGTAAACAGGGAAAGGCTTGGTGTGCGTTCTAGCTAATCCTGACCAGAGAGTTAAAACTGTACTGAGGGTGCAGGTAAGAGAAAAGAGAAAGCCAGTCAGGGCCCTAACCAAGTTAGCCTAGAGGCCCCTCCTCACCTTACAGAGACAACGGACAGCCACTTAAAAGACAAATATCTATCATCTATCTGTCTGTCTGTCTGCCTGTCTATCATCTATCTTCTCTCATTGTATTTCCTTTTATTTAATTTGCTAATTTGACCTTGCATGCTTGTATGTTAGATCCCTTTTACCCAACCCATAATTTCTCAAGATAGAGCCTGACAGGGCAAGAGAAAATCAAATAAAGACCACTTAGGAATTCGCATGTAAACCATGGGGGAGGAAGACTAGGGATCTTGGGGCCTGGGATCCATCTATGACAGCCCAGGGAACCAGATTATGACAAATTCCAGGTAGGGAGAAGGGCCCTTGAACCCCTATAAAAGCAGCCAGGAATAAAGGGCCCATGTGTCTTCCATCTTTCTGGAGCCCCCTACCCTGATTTACCAAGGTAGCTGTCTCTCTCTTCTTACCCTTTCCAACAAAATGTCTTCGTTTCTTAAACTTTGCATTATTCATGCTTTACTGATACAGAGTTTAACAATCTCGGTGAGCTGCAGAGCAGCGGTGCTCATGGCCCAGATGTAATAAGAGTATGCAACCTAAAAAACAAACAAAAAATACAGAAAGGTTGGGGGCTGGGGATATAGCTCAGCAGCACAGCACCTGCCTGGCAAGCGCAAGGTCATGAGTTCGATTCCTGGTACCCCCCAAAAAAAATATAGAAAGGAAAATAAATAAACACAGCCTCCACAAACCATGGGGTACTATCAAGTATACCAGTGTGCAAATAACAACACATAACATGGCTGGAGGGAAGAGAAAGGCAAAGACCAAGGAGTATGTGAAGGATTTGGCCTCCAGCTTTGTGGACTGATGAAGAATGTACACATCCAAGGATCAGCAAACTTGAAATAATACAAGCACAGAGATCCACAGCTGGTACATCATAGTCAAACTATCGGCAACACTGAAAGCAGGAAGAGAGAAAACAACTGACCAGAGAGGAGGGGAGGACAGCGGCAGTAGCAGGGGTCTTGTCTTCAAAAACACTGGAGCCAGGAGAGCAAGGGATACTTAAAATTCTGAAAAGAGAAACAAGCACTACTTCTGGCCAGGCCCCACCTCTTCACAGCACATGAAGCTGTACCACCCCCAAGATGCGCTCGTCCTTCAAAAACCTGGCTTGTGAATGCGCGAGGCTTTGTGGGGACAGGTAGGAAGACCCTGTGACACCCACTTCTTCTGTCTGACCCGGGTCTGGTGTATACAGACCTGAGCTTGGCTTTGTTGTGGGGAGCTGATCTTGGACTCTCCTTGGTACCTGGACATGGCCCTATGGAGGATGCACATTCAGCTCATCCCATCATAAGAGATGGGTGGAAACAGGATGGCCAGACTCAAAGATCCTGGGCAGGGAGGCTCCAGAGTCTGCAGGGTGGTCCTCCTTTCCTGCCCATGGAGGAAGAATGAAGAAGAGGAGGGTGAAATATACAAGGGAAGTCAGGTGCAGGTCACTTGAATTCTGGGGCAAATGCTGATCTGTTTAAAGAAGGATCAGACTGGGCGTGGTAGCACACTCAGCACTCAGGAGGCTGAGGCAAGGGATTCCCACAAGTTTGAGGCCAGCCTGGGCTACATAGAGAGTTAGAGCCCAGCCTGGAAGCATCAGACCTCTGACAGGGGAGATGCCCCCCACTTCTTATCTCTGGCCGCCTTCTTGGTTGGTTGGGCACAGCCCCCTAGTTCTGAAGCCTGGGTATCACCGACACTGTGTCCTTCCTCACTCCAGTGTTTAGTACGCTTATTGTTCGCAGGCTCTGTGCCACGTTGGGATGCAAGTCTGTCCCTCCTTGTTTGTTTTCCCTCTGTCACTTCAGTCCTGCCTTCTCTGGGATAATAAAATGCGATTGTTTTAGGCTCCAGTTTAACTTTCTCTATTGGTTCTCAGTGGTGGCTTCTGCTGTTATTGAAGGGCACCTCATGACCACTTGCCTTACAAAGGCAACTCTGTAACAAAGAAAATGGTGAGAACAAAATGAATAATCCTTATATTTACCTGCTCATTTCCCACTCTTCTTTCTTCTCCTTCTTTTTCTTGCTACCGGGAATCAAACTCAGGATCTTGCACTTGCCAGGCAGTTGCTATGCCACTGAGCTGTACCCCCAGCTCTTCTTCTTCTCCTTCTTCTTCTTCCTTCTCCTCCTCCTTCGTCTCTTCTCTTTCTTCAAACTGGGGTGTCCAGCAGCTCCCAAGGTCAAGTTAGCAAATTAAGTAAAAGGAAATACAATGAGAAAAGATAGATGATAGATAGATAGATAGATGATAGATAGAGTTGTCTTTTAAGTGGCTGTCCCTCGTCTCTGTAAGGTGAGGAGGGGCCCAGACTGAGCTCAAACTCATAGTCCTGCCTTAGCCTCCTCAGTGCTAAGTGCTGGGATTACTGACATGTGCCACCACACCCACATAACTTCTGTTTTTTGACAGTGCCCTAGGTTTGAAGCCCCCTGTGCTGTGTCCTAGTCAGTTTCGTTGGGGACAGCCAAGGAGCTTTCTGACCTTGAGGATGGACTGTTCCCTCTCCTTGAGGACTGCTTTCCCAGCACAGGTTCTGACTGGGGACAGATGGCACTGATATTTTCTTGGGTGACAGCACTTTACAGATGAAGCACTGGGCAGGGAAGCCCTTGGTCCCCTCCATCCACCTTTCCTGGGGTGGACTCACTGCCCTGGGTACCAGGCAGGGCTGGGACCTTCCTGCTACCTGGGGACTGAGCTCTCCCTCTCTGGGCCAGGGTGCAGGGAGGATCATGAGCTGTCAGTGGCTCCTGCTCAGCATGGAGCTTTGCAGCCCAGAGCTGGGATGGCAAGATGCAGCTGGCCCAGCTGTCGTCCCGGAGTGGCTCCTGGGCACTCATCCTTGGTGGCACCCACTGGGCTGGATGGATACCCACTCCCACCGCACACTGTCAGCTCATGTGAACATTTCTTTTGGGGTCACACCTCAGAGAGACTTTCCAGAGGCCTCTCACGTGGAAAGTGCTTTTCTCCAGGAAGGTGCTTTGCTGGGGCTGGGGAAAGAGCTACCCTCCCTCTCATGAATCTGATGTCCAGCTCAGCTGATACCATTTACCTGGCACTTGGGGCCTCTATACCTTTGTGTTCCAGCCTGGTAGCAGTCATTTTGCAGGGAGCCCTGGTTTTCAGTGGGGAATGGTATTTTGGAAAGCAAGGTCTTGGTATTACTATAGATAGATAAGTTAGATGGAACTTAATGGTCAGAGAGGGACTGGGCCCTCCAGGGCGTCAGTGCAGGAGATGAGACATTAGATGGGTGGCTGGAGATGAAGTAGAAGAGAAGACAGTAGCCTGAGATGAACTACAACCAGCACCACTGTGTCTAGGGAGCCCAGATGCGGCATCAAACCCATAGGTGGGGACCAGAACACCCTGACCCAGATTCCCAGCCTTTCCCCCAAATACCTTTTATCTTTCCATGTTAGAAGGTATAGATAAAGTTAGTGATGTCCACCCATATCCCCTTGCTATGTGCCACCTCCCCCAGAATTATGTGCCCTCCTGTGTGTCACGCAGCCTCACTTGAGCTTGAGGTTCCCTGTGGCATTGCAATGCACAGGCCCTCGCCTGAGGAGAGTGGCGAGACCTTGCTGTGTTGTCATCTTTTACTTTCCTTGTAATGAGAGGTTGAGCGTTATTCTATATGCTTACAGGTGTAATTGACTTTTACTTGGTTTATGTATCTCCTTTAAAGTGGCTTTATGGAGGGATATTAATGTTTTTAAAACTACACTTATGTGACAATTACATGTTTGGAGACATATATAAACCACACATGTATATACCAGTGAAACTCTCACAATCAAAATAATGAAAGTACTTATTACCTCTAGTCTCCTCCCAAAACTTTCCTTTTTGAGACAGGGTCTTGTATGGATCCAAGCAGGTCTTGAACTCACGATGTAGCCCAGGCTGGTCTCAAACTCAGAGTGATCTTCCTGCTTCAGCCAAGTGCTGAGATTATAGGCGTGCACCACCACAGATGGCTCTGGAACCATATTTTATGTACTCTCTCTCTCTTTTTTTTTTTTTTGATAGTAAATAATGTTTAGTAAAATTCACTTCAAGATAATAGAGCATTTTTACAATATAAAAGTAAGTCTTTTAATTAAAAAGAGTACCTGAGCAGTCCAGGACATATCCATAAAGCAATACGGAAGTATAAAGGCAGGGCAACATCTGGCCATGATTCCACAAGCCACAGGGTTCCTAAACCTCATAGGAAGTTTGACACAGAATTTTTTAAACTTTCAAATAATGCAGTTGATCTTGCTCTCAGATAAGACACATCTGAAGGGAGGCTGCAGCAAATTATAATGACTTGGGGGCTCTTTGGTTTTTTTTTTTTTTTTTTTTTTT